TATATATATTTTATTGAGGCCTTTTTTGCCAAAGCTGCACCATTTGAAGAGGAGTGGCCTTCACCCCCAGGGCGGGCAGGGAATTCCGGGGGGTGAAAGTCCACTCATCTTAAAGTGGCCAAGTTTGGACAACACTGAATTAGGTGTTCCACATCTGATTTGCAAAAATCTGGATGATCACTAGGCAGAGAGCCAGGATTCCATCTAGAGGTTGTTAGGAGTTTTGCAACCCAAACGTTGTGTGCCAACTTTCATCCTGCCCCACACACCCTAGAATAGGATCAAAAAATTGGGTCTTCCTACCTCAATACCCCCGTTGAATAGAAATGTGGCTATGGTTGCAAGCTGTTGCCTTTAGCCAGTTTACAAACTTAGTTTTGATCATACACTAAACCGAAACCCACCCAATCACATAATGGCTTAATTCATGTGAATTCACAATTCTGGTTGGTATCTCCGATATTGAGATGGGAGAGCAAGGGACGTGTTTGTAACTATGTGGGAGATGTTTTCATGTATCTTCTGGGTGTGGAAAGGAAGCAATCCATGCATTCTTGTTTTTGTTCTGTTTTGTTTTAGATTATTGTGAGTTACCCGCCTACAAAGCAGTTAACGTATGAAGAACAGGATCTGGTGTGGAAGTTTCGATACTACCTTACCCATCAGGAAAAGGTATGTATGCCAGCTTAAACTATTGCCATGCTCTGTCTTTTTTCATGACTTAGAACTGCAATAATTCCTAACCTGACATTTCCAGGTGATTCCCAACATTTTCAGAGCCATCAAAAGCCAGATGGCAGGGAATTCAGCGTTAGAGTGGATGTAGGATGGGCGGTTTGAGAAGGCTGATTGACATGTTTGATTATTTTTTAAGCTCATACATGGGCAACATTCGTTCTTTTTTGCTTTTCTTTGTGTTTGAATGTTAATTTTGTGAAAAGGTCTGCTATTCTGTCACTCCAGGGAATGTGAGAGTAATAATTTGCTTTTATTGTATTGACTGACTAAGAGTATGACATTCTAGCATGATGGTACCGGATCTGGACTGCAGAAATTTTGGCCACCTCTAGAAGGCAGGAAGAGATTTTTGTAATCTTACTCTGCAGTTACCTTCCCCTGCTAAAGACCCCCTCCCCCCCTTCCTTCCATTGTGCCTTTTCTGACCTCCCTGGCTGCTTCTGTTTCTCATTCTGAAGAAGTCCAACGGGAGGAGTTCCTCCTTCCCTTGGAGTTTATTGAAGGCTGGAAGCCAGGGAAGCCGCAATCACTGCAGAGAGGGTCACCCAAGGAAAGCAAAGGGCATTCATACATCTACCCCTTGTCCATCTTGTCACTAAATCAACACAAGAACGTAGCAATTCCCCCCCTAAGAAGTGTCACTGAAATTCTCTTTTCTTTTGAAAGAAATTTCAACAGGAGCTCCTCTTTCATCAGTCAGAGTAAAAATGGAAGAGCAAACTCAGCTCCTTTTTCCTTAAGAGAAAACCAGGCTTTAGATTTCAAGGCAGCTTTGCAGAAAATAGAGGCCCACCAGGCATGACACAACATTTAAATAATGCTTTCCCCCAAGCAGAGTTGAAGTATGTCTGCTTTAGAAGCAGAGGACCAAGATTTGATGTTATTCAGTCAATCCATCGCCCTATTATTAATGTTAGGGTTATTCAGTAGCCATGATACCGAGGACAGGGAGTTGCTTCATGAGAAAAAGAAGAACTTAAACCCTTTGTTACTATTGTAGTTTTAAACCAAGTCAGAGTTCCTTGAGATTTAAAAAAACTTCAAGACTTAAAAAAATATTACTCATTCGGTGAAATACTAATGAATATGTATTTATTTAAAATATTTGTCTGCCCTTCATCATGCATTGCATCCCCTGAGAATGGGCAAAATTAAAAATGCATTTGAATGCAACAAACAACACCCATAAAGTGCAGCAAAAAATGATCCAAACAACCATTATTCTCATAGCATCCTTAATGAGTTGGACTGCACCATAGTTGAACTCTCAACTATTCCTAGGTGAATGAGAATGCATATACAGGTGATCCTTGCTTAACAACCACTTGTTCAGCAACCATTCAAAGTAACGATGGTGCTGAATGAGTGGTACTTATGACCAGTCCTCATACTTGTGTCAGTCGCAGAGTCCCTGAGATCACATGATCGCCATTTGCAACCTTCTTTGCTGGGTTCCTACAAGCAAAGTCAGTGGGAAAGCTGGCAAGAGGTCCCAAATGGCGACCAAGTGATGTCCTCTCTTAATGACCGAGTGATTTGCTTAATGTCGGCAACAGAAGTGCCGGAATTTGCATCACAAAGCATGGTCACATGATGTCACGCTTTATGACTGTGTCACTTAGCAATGGAAATTCTGGTCCCAATCCCTATCATTATGTGAGGACTACCTGTAACGTGTGGCAAGATCAGCCCATGGTTTCTTCTGAGAGAGAGAGGACTCCCAAGAAGAGACTCTGTTGAAAAAAACAAACCTGTTCTTGTTTAATGCCATCTCTAAGTTGGGGAAAGAGATGTCATAAGTTTCTGGTTTTGATCCCAGGCATTGACCAAATTCTTGAAATGTGTCAACTGGCATCTTCCTCAAGAGGCAAAGCAAGCTCTGGAGCTGTTGGGCAAATGGAAGCCAATGGATGTAGAGGACTCCCTGGAGCTTCTGTCCTCACAGTTCACCAATCCAACGGTGCGCCGCTATGCTGTGGCCAGGTTGCAGCAGGCCGATGACGAGGTAGAAAAACCCGCATGCTTTTTCTATGCTTGAGAGGGATTTAACGAGTGCCTTTCTCATGTTTTAAAGTATGGGCGTGCAACTCTATTCAATTTAGAAGGGGGATGATGATGATGATGATGATGATGATGATGATGGTGATGATGATTGCTATTAATACTGTTATTATGAGATAGCTCCCCTACCATTCTGCTTTCTCCTTTTTGCCTTCCCCTTCCTTGCCCCCAACCCTTTCTGTCCCCTTCCTCTTCCCATTGCCACTTTCCAAACAAAATTTGCCTGCGTCCCATTTTGCCTTCCCAGGATCTACTGATGTACCTGCTGCAGCTTGTCCAGGCTCTGAAATATGAAAATTTTGATGACATCAAGAGTGGGTTAGAGCCCACAAAGAAGGAGACTCAAGGACCAATGTCAGAAAATATGACCACATCTGGAACGAACGCTTCTGAAATAGACAGGTGGGTGAAAGGTTTGCTGAACACTAAGCATGACACCAGGTTTAGCTAGTTATCCTCAGGTCTATCTAACCTTGTTAAAAAGCTTGCTTCTAAAAGAAACATTTGAGTCCGTGGTGTTTAATAAAAAACTGATCTACCGCAATTTGAAATTATTACGCAATTACGCACCTCTACCATTTTGGTATTCATATTTGGAGTTACAGTTTTAAACCTACTTAGTAGGAAGTGACATCCATTAAACCCAGTGGGACACTGGCATGCATGTTTACTTCTGAATAAATGTGCTTACAGCTGCCTAGTTTTCTACAGGGGAAAAGCACTCCTCAGGATGCAAATGAATGAAAAGTTAACTGCAAAATAATAAGAGGCCTCACATTGCAGAAAATAATTCTTGCCAGCAAAGGAGATTATCCTTTTCTGCCTGATGGTGGCTGTTGGTTTCACATTTTTAAAAACAATTCATTATTGAAGATGTGTGTGTTTGCATAAGAAAGTGGAGATAATTGCTATGAATATACCTGCAAGATCACAAAGAAGGGGAGGGGAGGAGGAGAAGAAAATTCATGAATATGGTAGCATTTTTAAACATTATACACTTAGACAGAAAAAAGGGCTTCCTTTGGTTGCCATGGGAATTTATAAATAAATAATCAATCAATCCCTTGGGCCAATATTTTTATAGACTAGGTGATAGGTAATACTCAGCATGGGCTATGACTCCACCTACTTTTATGGCAAGACACAAAGAAAGAGTTCTTTTTTTGAGTTCTGAATTTTCTTTCAAGTGGAAAATCTCCCATTTTACCCTGAACTCAAAACAGAAATTAGTACATTTTCTTTTGAGCACAAAACACTCAAAGCAGTTATTCTGATTTGGGGATGTTTTGCTCACTCCCAAAAGCTGTGCCAGAAGAACCAAGGTTTCGACTGAAGATCGAGTGACCCTGTCAGAATTTCATGTATCATTTTTTTTCATTTTTAATTTATTACTCAACTATAACAAACAGAAGAATAATACATCCATGATAATACAGCAAGAAACCACAGATGTTAGAATGATTAAAATAAACTAAACATAAGGAGAGAAAAAGAAGGAACTTCGGAAAAAGAAAGGTCCATATAATATCAATATAAAATTAATTCAGTCCTTAAACTTATTGTTAGACCTAGACTATATAGAAACATATTGCTCTTTCTTCTCATTTTTAGAATATAGGGGCATTTAAAAATTTGATAAAGATCACATATCTTGAATCTGTTCCTTAACAACAAGAGTAGAAGTTGCTTTCCAACTATGTAAAATAATTGGCTTTGTTGAACCTCAGACTCGATAGAGCCAATGTTCTTCATAAAATGTCAAATTTCCATATTTTACATTTATATCTTAAACTAGTTTGTTTTTCTCCCCAAGACTATGATAATGTGAGTTATAACTTGAAAACAAAATGGAGCCATGAACAGACGTGACCAAATCATATGAGTCATGGCCCTCAATGTCCTTGCAGCACCAACACAAGAAATCCATTTTAAAATTTTCTTTGAAGACTCCAGTAAAAATGAAATAATATTTTCTGATGAGTTAAATTCATTTCGTAAAGCATGGACCCACTGATTTTACAGAATATCATGCATCGAATACTTCTCCCTGCTATATTCTTTTCTCAGCTCGCAGATCATCACGAGTCCTCTGCCCCTCATTTCTTCCCCACTGCCAACAGCAAAAGTGAAAGAATCGGTTGACAATGAAAATCTTGAGGTGAGCAAAGCATCAAGAGCTGATGTAGCGTTTCAGGGGATGAGCTTTTGAGGTGGGAAAGGTCTCTGTGTTCTTGCTTCCCATATGATTGCCTACAATTGTCCCCATAATTAAGAGGGGCATAATAATATTGTGCCCCTCCTGAGAGGGTCCTTGCAAGGCCTGCTCATCTATGGTGGGTCAACTTCCAATGGTTGCCAATTCTTGTCTTCTCTTCCCACAAGCACATGCACAAAAGGTATTTCTTCTCCCGTTCTGTTTCTTCTTACTCTCGTCATGGTCTCTCCCCCAAAACTTTAAGGAATGGATGCCCCTACAAAGAATGTTAGGGGCATAAAGCAAGCAGGGGAGAAAGCGAAAGCCCTTATTCACAGTAGGCCCATTCAGACAGCAAACTAAGCCACAGGTTTATACATTTAGCTTCTCTTCCATTCTTAGCATGGTTTACTCCAGTGTTGCCTTCATTGTATATCAATTCTGACATTGCTGATGTTTAGTGCTTTGTACCTTGCAAAGAACAAGAGGATAGTTCCTGGCCCAGTGGAATCGTTTTCTGTTTTAAGTGCCTGGATTATAAGTTTTCTGTTAACTTTCCTGTGCCACTTCTTCATCTGTGTTGTTGTTTTATTAGAGTTTCCCCCAGGGGCATCCTCAGGTGGGGGTCAGAGGAGTCAAGATGGCAGCCGTGATGCTTGATCAAAGCGCCACTCTTTTTTTAAGATTAGTAAGTGGTGGGTCTTTAAACACATGGTGATGGCCATCATCTTGGTTTTCTGACACCTCCTGTGGATGTCCCTTCCCCCTTTAAAAGTACTTTTAAAGTAAAAGTAACCATGCTTTAAAGTAACCATGGAATCCATATAGAAAACTTTGATTATAGATACATTACTCTTATATTATAGCTATTCAGGGTATTATAAATTGTTATTGTTATGATTTTATTCTAGAAGAGTTCGGTCAGTGGGTAAACTAAAGCAGGAGTTAGCAGGAAATAAATCTGAAGTAAATTCAGTTTTAAATGCTTAGGTTTACTTCGATAGTAGGCCATGGAGTAAAAGGGAGGTATGTTCTTCCAAGGAAAAAGTGGGTTCTGAGGGAATTTTGGAGGGACAAGTCAAGGCATAAAGATGCGGAAGGTGTTAGCTGATGGTTGGGATCAGCCAATTTTTCAGTGCCAGACAAAACACCTCAGTGGTGTTTGAAACGTTAAAATTGTTTGGTTTTGGAGAAAAGGGAACAAGACAAGATTCAGGAGGGTGGTGGATATCCTGGTGCTCCATTTCAGGGGCATCTGTATGTGTCAAAAAAAGTCAACATGATGACCAGAATCATGCAATTGAAACCTGCCCCCCCCCCTTTTTAACCAGCATTGCATGTGTGATTGATTTGATTGCAAGACAGTGGCCACCATCTTAACTTCTTTTGTTTCCCTGCCCCACTGCTTGGTTTAAGGAAAAATCTTAGTTTCCCAGTTGCATGTTTGGGGGAGGAAAAATTCTTGCCATGGGGAAACAAGTCAGTGGAGTCCTCTGGGGGACAGTGAATACAGAGGCACGTGTTGCGGACCTGTGTCACTAAGCCATCATTTGGACCACTCATGTCTGCAGTTTCTACCCCCTCCAATTTCTTTCACTTACTGGAGGGTTGGGAAGTTATGAGAAAGCATGGAGCAGCTATCCCAATGCATCCAAGGAAAACCTTAATCTTTTGAATTCCTGACTTCATTTCAAACCTCTTTTATTTTTCAGCAAGACCTTTGCACATTCTTAATATCACGAGCATGCAAGAATTCCACACTGGCAAATTATCTGTACTGGTAAGTGTGGTCTTCTGAGCTTCTGAATTTCTTAGTGCTCAAAATTGGCCCACAATTTTAATACACTCAGAAATACAGATTTCATGGATATTAATCCGTCGCAAGTTCTGGTGGACAGAAGTAGGGAAGAATTATGAACTATGACAAACCATGACACCTGAGGATTTCATTTTGTAATCCAAGCTATTGTTTCCTCTGAGATGGGAAGAAAATGATGTTGAAAAATTGTACCTTCAGCCCAGCTGGGGGAGATGTTGACTTGGTTCATAGATTGAACAAAATCAAATGATTTGTTGGTTGGTCTTGAATGTTGTATCAACCAGGCAAATGCTGGTTTATTCAACTGGAAAAAAAGAATGAACTAAGTATGGGTTAATGCAATGTATGAATCTAGCTACAAGCTTGGTTGATGTGCAGAGTGTGAATATAACTCTGTCTGGAGATGGGGCCAAGCATGCTCACCTTACTGCATAATTATTAGTATCAGTATCCACATTCATTTCTTTTATTTATATACTGCTGAATCAGTTCCCACTCACAGCAGTTTACAAAACAATTGACAAAAACATTTGTGACAGTGAAAATATCCACAGTAGAACAAACGATAAATAATAAAAGTGGCCACATCACAAGAATAAATTATAATAATAGTATATTCAAAGATGAATGAAACAAAATCATGACAAAGCCAACTAAAATAATATCAACAAAATAATAATAATTTATTAAATTTATTAAATCAATGTAAGTAATACAGTGGGTGAAAACAAACTATTCAACCAAATGTTCTTTGGAAAGCCTCCATGTTCAGGAGCTTCCAGAATGTTAGAAGCAATGGAGTAAGTCTTGGTTCTAAGGGGAGGCTATTTCATCATAATTCATCATAATTCTCCCCATGTTCAGCTGGGAAATCTGAAGGAAAGTTCTTCTCCTGTTTTCTTGAAGATGAGTCGAACTTTCATCATGAGGGAGCTTAATATATCACTCTTGTAGAGTTGTAATTTCATCCAAACATTCATAGCTTCCTGCTCAAGTCAGAAGTCTTGAGACTGAAGAACATGGAAAAGAAGAAGCCGCTTGCAGACATTTTTCTCTCCCTCTTCTCTATGTTTGTTACCACAGGTTCTCTGGGCAATGTGGAGAGGGCCAGTGTGACAAAGAGGATCAAATATTTGGCACAATTTTCTGCTCAGGTCTTGTGGCTTACACAGGACTTTATTTCCACTTAGCAATATCTGCTCAGAGATCTCATACAGTACAGCAAATCTCAACTTGCTGTGCAGGTAGCATGAAGAAGCTTTTATGTTAACAGAAGCACCTGAAGGAATCCTTGTTAAAAAAAGAAAAAAAGTAATACAGTAATAAGCATATTCTGTATAGATTGCAAGATGATAATGTTTTATTAAATTTTTCAGTTATACGTGCACATAGGCACAAAACGTGACTTGTATTTACCAAAAAAGACAATGGGACAGATCAGCTCTAATTCAAGTCATTGGTGTGATTCGGATCTTCAAGTCAATGCTAGTGAACAATCTGAATCAACTTTCAAAATCGATTTTAGGTATTGAATTGAGTCAGTTTGATATTCTTAACCAATCTGAGAAAAAAAAGGTGTTTTATCTGACTTTGTTTCAGAAAGTTGATTCCAAGCCAATCAAATTTCTGAACAGAAGCTTTGCCCAGCTTATTCTAAGTAAATACATAAATTTTGCTCTAATAATACAACATGCAGAAAGACAAGCTCTAGTTTTGTGCACATTACCTTCTCTCCCAAAACTCTGGTCCTTTGCAGCTCATTGTTCACCAGACATCTCAGTTTAAGCTTCTTCTTGTCCTCCATGAAAGGTACGTGATTGTCGAGTGCGAAGACCGAGACACACAGCAGAGGGACCCCAGGACTCATGAAATGTACCTGAATGTCATGCGTAGGTTTAGTCAAGCCCTCTTAAAGGTGAGAATTCGTTTTTTTCTGTTGTGAAACAGGGACATTAGAAGAGCTGCAGGCAAGGGTCAATGTGGGAGCAGAAGAATGCCAGCCAGTCTGAAATCTGAGTGTCGTCTGATCATAGAGTTCATTGGAAGTGTGTTAGGTCAATATAAATATTGTATATTTTAGTGTTTGTGTGTGGGACAAGATACATGCCTGCATACATACACACACACACAAATACAGAAGAAAGCAAAGACTAATTACCATCATGAAAACAAGTAGCTACTTTTGATTCACCTACATCTGAATGACCAGTCCCATAATATCTTCAAACTTGGTCTCTTGAATCCAGATATGATTTTTCACCTTGTTTAAATTATTGAAAACATCTACGGTATATCTTGACTTTTAGCCAACCTAGAGGGTAGCTGTTTACATTAGGTGGGCTTAAGCCTTGTAGTTCTGAACCACAAAATGTGAAATGTTTGCAACATGATTAATAATGGAGGTTTGCCCCCGTTCTTTTTATTTTTGTGTATTCTACCCCTCAAAAGAACATGGGGGTCTATGCAGAGATGAAGTGACCCCTGCTAATGGAAGGAAGGTCTGCCTGTTTCGCTCACTTCCAAGATTTGAAATGGTTAAGCCATGACAACTGAAAGTCTCTTTGCAAAGCATGAGGAGCAGAGTCTTAGATTTAATTTTTCAGAAACGTGTCTCAGTTCAGCATCTTCTCTTCCATGTTGATGGAAGCAACGTTACATTTGTTTGGAATTCTTCAGAGGCGAGCAGTCTTTCATTTATCACAGCTCTGCATTTCCTTGCCGTTCCACCCCCACCCCACCCCCAGTGCAAATTGGCTTATGTCACAGAAGTGTTCACTTTTAGAATGATTGTTGTTGACAAAGCTGTAAAAAAGCCAAAAGGTCAGTCAACCATCTCCTGCTACAGGCAGCTTTGATTGCATTTTATATTGGGGGAAAGTGAAAGTGTGGGGGGGAAGGAACAGAAAAGAAACATTTCTGTGGAGTGCGTGTCACCGTTTATTATCTACTCAGAGAGGAGATTGCTAAAAGCCAGGAGAACTGCAGTGGAAAGAAATAATGTTGGGTGTGTTTTTTGTCTCCTGATTTACCCAGGGCGATAAGTCTGTCCGGGTGATGCGTTCCTTGTTGGCCGCCCAACAGACCTTTGTAGATCGGTTGGTCCACCTAATGAAAGCAGTGCAGCGTGAAAGTGGGAATCGGAAAAAAAAAGTAAGGATGTTCTGCACAGACACTTCCAAATGCAAGCCGATTCCCGCTTGGGCTGAGTTTGAGTTTGCTCGGTGGGATTCAACTTTGCAACTTGATATGTGTCAGCTTTACTAGGTAGACCAGACAGGAAACACGACCAGATGAGCTAATTCTACTTTATTGTAAGGCTACGTTAAGAGAATCTTGCAAGTCTGAAAGCACTTCTCTCCCCTTGTCCCCTTTTCAGCCCCAAAACTAGGGAGGGTCTCTTCAGCATATTCCTGCCGTGGGCTCAGCTGCCTTTTATCTGACCCTTCCCTTGGCTGCATCTCTTTGCCCCGTTTCCCAGGGTCGTTCCCACATACCATTACAATATGTGAAGGAAGGGGTTGGACGGCTCATTTGCGTGCCCAAGGCGCAAACATTGCAGCCATTGTAACAGAGGCCATAGCTAGCAGTTTCATTAATTTTAATGGCGTGAATGAGCAGTCTGTGCTCTGGGGATTATTTTAGAAAGAAAATTCTTCTTTTTGTCTGCTGAACTGTGCTTCTGTTGTTTGCTGTAGGAGTTAATTTGGAAGAAAAAATTGCATGCTTGGCTAATTAATTTGGAGGTTGAGTGGTAATCAGTACTTAACATGGACTACCACCTTGTCTCCTTTTATAGTCCTATTATGACAAATAGGAGAAAAGGTATACTTCAATTTCCCATTGCTCCTGGTGGCAGAATACTCAATATGTTTCAAATTTGTTATACTGAAACTTTGTTTTGAGCTCAGATTTTTAAAAAATTACTTCACTGTACATTTTGTATACAAAAATACAAAAAATAAAGCCCACTACAAAGAAAAAAGACTGATAGCAAACAGAATGAAAAAGCAAAGAAAAAGAAAGAAACTAGAGTTATAAACAATCTAAGCATAGCACCTGTACAGGTAGTCCTTGTTTAACAACCACAATAGGACTGGAAAATTGGCCGTTAAGCAGGGTGGTGGTTAACTGAGTCACCACATGACCATACCCAATTTCACGGCCATTTTTATGAAGGTCGTAAAGCGAGTCACCATGGTCGTTAAGCAAATCAAGTGGTTGTTAAGTGAATCACATGGTCGTTAAGCAAATTCAGATTCCCCAAAGGATATTTTTTTTGCCGGAATTCACTTAATGGCCACTTGATTTGCTTAATGACCATGGTGATTTGCTTAACAACCATCATAAAAAAAGGTCACAAATCGCGATCACATGACTGCAGGAGGTAGTGTGACAGTTTTCAAAGTTGTAACTGCAAGAACAGGTTGTAAAGCACTTTTTCCGAGGCCATCGTAACCTCGAAACATCGTTAAACAAACGGTCGTTAAGCAAGGGCTACCTGTATATCAAATACTGAACACTGTATAAACATTTCCAATTTAAAAATGAATGAGACTATTGTAAAATATTGCAAAATCTATGCCAAAGGGAGGCACGTTGCATCATTTTGAAAACATAGCCTTTTCAAAAATGGATAAATTGCACATCTCCTGAATCCAGTCTTTAATATGTGGAAGAATACTACTAAATCTCCTGAATTGCACATTTCTATAGATAATGCTCTTCAGCATTAAACAATTTTTTTTTAAAAATGTAATTCTTATTTGCATCTAATATATTGCCCCTTTTGCTTCCTCTTCTAGAATGAGAGATTACAGGCTCTTCTGGCAGACAACGAGAAGATGAACTTATCGGATATTGAGCCTATTCCTCTGCCTCTCGAACCCCAAGTGAAAATTAGAGGAATAATCCCCGAGAAAGCGACTCTGTTCAAGGTAACAGCACGAACCTGTCTTGCAATCACTGTGACCTGTGGGATGTAAACATATCCAACAGCCTAGGGCATTTTGAGAAACTTTCCTGCCATCTCTTTTCAAAGGAATCAGTCCACAAAGCAGAGTAGCAGATTAACGCGGTAAGGAATGAAATTCGTTTCTCGCTGTGATGTCAGCCTCTGGATTTTTGAAAAGTTTTTCAAGCAGGCAAATGCATGCATATGCATATATCTAGTCATAGTATGTGTGTGTGTGTGCGTGCGCCTTTGAGTCATTGATGACTCCTGGCGACCACCTGGACAAGTCCCTGCAGTTTTCTTGGCAAGGTTTTTCGGAAGTGGTTTGCCCTGGTCTTCTTCTTCCTGGGGCTGAGAGAGAGGGACTGGCCCAAGGTCACCCAGCCGACTTTGTGCCCAAGGCAGGACTAGAACTCACAGTCTCCCGGTTTCTAGCCTGGTGCCTTCACCACTGCACCAAACTGGCTCTCTTGAGTTATAGTACATAGTACTAGTCATAGTAAGTCACCTCTTATTCAAACATGGTTCATTAAGCGAGCCACAGTGGTCTGATTGTCTATTTGATTTGTTGATATTTACAATTTCTTTATTTGAATCCCACCTTTCTTCTTTGAGCACATAAGCAATCAAAGGAACGGTACAGAAAAGCATTCTAGGACAGGAATTAAAAGGAAGGCAAAACCTAGTTAGCAATTAAAAGTCTGGCTTACTTTCTAAACGAAGGGTTCACACACAACTCCCAAAGGAGTATATCCCACAACCTGGAAGCAGATCAGAAGGGCCTTTCTTGCAAACTATAATGTGCAACAAGGTTTGTAAGAGGAGCCTTTCCTAGAATGGTTAAGTCCAAGACATTTAGCATTTTAAAGGTCAGTGCCAAAACCTTAAATTGGGCCCAATAAGAAGCTAACAACTACTGTAAAACTTTTACCATAAGCTTCTTACAATCAGCAGCCCAGTTGTGGCATTTTACAACAGTGGTAACTTCTGGACAGTCTTTAAGAGTACCTCCAAGTAGAGTGTGTTTCAGTAGCCAAGACAGAATGTATTCCCTGTCTCCAAATCTCCCTTGTTTCCAAAAGACAGTGCCTGAGTTCACCCGATACACTTAACCACAACCAAGCAGACCACATTTCTGTGCAAATAAATAAATAAATAAATAAATAAATACAGGCAGTCCTCGCTTAGCGACCACAACTGGGTCCAGCAGCTCCATCGCTAAGCAAAACATCATGTGACTGCAATGGTCTTATGTCATCAGTTTCCATTTGGTCATTAAGCGAGACATCACGTGACCACGACTTGCGATTTTACTGCTGGCTTCTCCATTGATTTGCTTGTTGGAAGCTGGTTGTGAAGCATGCAAATGGCGATCACGTGACCGCAGGGATGCTGTGCCAGTCATAAATGCAAGGACCAGTTGTAAATTTACTTTTTCAGCACCGTCGTGACTTTGAATGGTCACTAAACGGGGCAGTCGGTAAGTGAGGACTACCTGTAAAACCTCTCTGAAAACTCCCTTTTACCTTGTACTTAGATCGCCACCCATCTCTGCAGTTGTGTTTACCTCACACAGGTCTAGATTGCTGCACCTTTCCTGCTGTGCAACCCAATAATGCTATCTTCTGGTCCTAATCCAAGCCACTGGGCAGAGAGGAACACCACTGCCTCCCTCCCATAGTTGCCAAGAGGTCCCTCTGGGTCCCTCACACCTTCACCTAGGAAGGGACAGATTGTAATTAGTTGAAAACTCAACCAAGTTTCATTTCAATTCTTTTTCTGCTGAAATATAGCTTGGTAGCTTTAGCAGATGTTCATGTTCATTTTTCCTTGTGCCTTGTTTGTGCCCTATTTTTTTTTTTTTTTTAAATGCCTGATGCTCGACCACGTTTCTCTTTTCCAACCTGGTGTCCTCTAAATGTTTTTGGAATGCTTGTTGGAGGAGGAGTCCCAAGGAGAGTAGGAGGCTGAGAAAACCAGAACAGCTTGGGGATCTGGTCAGCATAGAAAAAGGGTTTTCTGTTTCTATATTCTTTGCTCGAAAGGAAGAGAGATCGAGGACTGGGTCATGTTAAACTGATAAATACATTTATTTGTAGAGGCTAATTGATTTTTTTTTTTCCTCTTCCTGTTCTTTTTATGAGAGACAAATTGCCAGCTAAACAAATTAGGCCTTTTCAGAAAGGGCATTTTAAATAGAATTGCCATCTAAGTTAATTACAGAGGAGAGCTAATTGCTTTAAAGTTATCCTCCCCTTAGTGTGTGTGCGTGTGTGTGTGTGTTTTTCCCCCCAGTTTAGAAAAATGGCTCTGGCCTCTCCCTCGCTCCCTTTTCCGTTCAATTCCAATTACATTATTGTGCCCTTTTAAGTAGCACTGAAATGTTTGAAGGCAGATGCAGAAGACAAAATGACTGGATTTTTTCCCCATTATAGAAGATACAGATGATGATATTCCCCATAACAGGACTGAGGTTTTGCCTGCCAATTTTATTGGCTTAGATTTCCAACTGAAGGCTTCTTCCCACAACTCTCCTTCTGTTATGAGAGTTGAGCATTCCTTGGACTTGGCGGGTGGGGGGGATCATGTATGTTTTCCTGTCTCTTTCCTTCAGAAATGGCTCTGAGAAATGAACACGGTGTTTCGCACCCTCTCTTGAAATGGTGTTCTCCACCAGGACTCAACAAAGGCATTCTACATTTGTAGTGGCCCAAGAGGCAGCTGAAAGTTTTTGCATGGCTGGCGAGGAGTTTGACCTTGTGAAGCCTCTAGCACATGTGCATTTATTTGATTTCTTACAATAATTTCTGTTCTGCCTACTCAGCAGGCTGTGTGATGCACCCTCCTTCTCAAAGTTCATCTGTTTTTCTGAGCCTCCTACTGGTTGAAAAGATATAGAGATTAACTCAAAGATCAATAACTTTTTGTAGGGCCAAGCATCATTCATTCATTCACTCACACACACACTGACATCTTACAAGATCACCAATTTCACAGAACACCAATGTTCCCTCTTTAAATCTTGTGAGATTTTGATCTTCTTGTCTGGAACCCATCATGAGATCTCCGATGGGATCCCAGTGCCTTGAGATTCAGAGGTCTTAGGAGATTTCCTGAGGCCTCTGTGAGAAATAAAATTTCAGACAAAGATGGGCCGTGGCCTGACCCAACAGGGCTGTTCTTTTGTTCTCATGCTTTGCAACATTTTCATTTATTTATTTTTTAAGTGTGCATTTTTATGTGGAGACTCCTATATCATGGGAAAGGAATCATCCTGCGTTCCTCCCAACAGAACGTACTTCTTAGACAATGGGGCGTTCTGATTTCTCCTTTTCTTGTTCCCTGATCAGAGCGCCCTCATGCCGGCTCAGCTGTTCTTCAGGACCGAAGATGGAGATAAATACCCTGTAATATTCAAGCATGGGGATGACTTACGTCAAGATCAACTCATCCTCCAGATCATTTCGCTGATGGACAAGGTGACATTTTGTGATGTAGTCATTCAGCCCTGCCCCGTGTCTGGAAACCCAAGTGGTTCCAGAGCAGACCAAAGGAAAAAGTCTGTTGAATGTTTAACAGAGATTTGAAAGGACCGAGTCCCACCCAGAACAAGTATTAAAGCCTGTGGCAAAGGTTAAAGAAGTTAATTAAATGGAGTCAGCTAAATATAAACATTAGAGAAGGAGACAGAGTGGTAATGGAAGGTGATCCACTTGGAAATTGAGGACTTGGAAGGTAATTAGTGGCCAAGGGAAAAGAAAAATGAGGAATTACAGAAAATTGAAGAGGAATTTCTTTAGAAACTGGAGCTTCAGCTGGCTAAAGTTAAGGCTTTCCTGAATCCAGCTCAACTTCTAATGACTGCAGAGCAAGTTCATGTTGTTTTCTGTGCAATCATATGGAAGTGGCCTTCCTTCAGGATGCTTTTAGGATGTCTCAGTTTCAGCCTACAACCCTGGGATTATCTGGTGGTTAATCCAAGGAGTTACCAGCCCTGTTTAACATTTGGGGAAGTGTGGTTTTAGGACAGCTTAGGGAAAAGCTCCCTTGAATCCAGTTCATCTTCTGGTGACTACATGATCATGTCCATGGTGTTTCTTGGCAACAGCATGGATATGTCTTGCATCTCAGTCTAGTTTAGAGCCCTGGGATTCCTGATGGTTTGCTGTGCACGTACTAATCAGGTCTAATCTTGTTTAACTTCAGTCTGTTAGGTTCTGCCACCTGGGTGGGCCTTTTCATTAATTAGCAGTTTTTAAAGAAATATGTCTGTTGTAAGACAGTAGGAGACATTGTATGCTACAGATTCCTTGAAAGGGAGAGTTCAGAAATACATAGAGTGGAGACTGGACAACTATCTGTCTGTCTGGGAGGCTTTATTTGGATCCCACCACCAGCCAGTGAGTTGGTCAAGAGCAGTGTTTCTCATCCTTGACAATGTGAAGATCTGTGGACTTCAACTCCCAGAATTCCCCAGCCAGCATGCTGGCCGGGGAATTCTGGGAGTTGAAGTTCACTGATCTTAAAGTTGCCAACTTAGAGAAACCCTACTCTAGAGAGTCTCCATCATCCTTTCCACTTCTAGAATTCCATGTGAACAATAAAGGCGGGACAATATTTTGTTCTGAAATTACATCTACTCATCTTTTCATGGTGGCCATCACATTATTCAGGAGCAAAGCCAGACTTTTTCTTACAAATTTCTCATCCTGTTCACCACTTTTACCTATAGCTCTTACGCAAGGAGAACCTGGATTTGAAGCTGACTCCCTACAAAGTCTTGGCTACAAGTACAAAACACGGTAAGACTGTTTCCCCTTCCACCTCCCTCTTCTCCCCACCACCACCACCACCAACTTGCAGGAGTAAAAAAAAGTATTCACAGAGTTCTTATTCTCAAAGAGTCCATGCACTCAATGTAGAAAAAGACCTGATCCTATTTCAAGCACATATGTACTCTCTGCTTTATCTATAAAGCATATTCCCATTAAGTTTTTCAGTTCCCTTGAAATTCCGCTTCTCAGAACACCAACAAGTCTTTTTATCTATAATATTGTCTTCTTCCTACTTTGCAAAAATACGTTTCTATGTCTCTCCTCCCCATATGAGTCTTAAATGCAACAAGGTTGGGGGACAGGAGAACTTGAGGTGTTTCTGAGCGGTGAGTCTTATGTTTTTATTTCTGTTTCCCCCCAGGTTTCATGCAGTTCATCCAGTCGGTACCGGTGGCAGAGGTTCTCGCTACTGAAGAAAGCATCCAGGTTTGTGTCCTGACTTGGCCAGGATTGTGATGGAAAAGGAGGTTGGTCTCTCAGCCTCCCCTGACCCTGGCATGAATCCAGGTGAAGATGTCAAAAGCTTTTAAAGAAGATGGGAATATATCAAAAAGAAGAGAAATTTGGAAATGAAAGAACATGTAAAGAGCCTTTTCTGGACCATAATGCAAAACAAACTACACATTACTCTCTTTTTCCTCACCTCCCCAGACTGATCTTAGAGAGTACGATGCACTTAAACGTTCTATTTATAGACTTGTCCTTTTTTTCTCCACTAGGTAGCAGCAATAAACCAACCTTGATTACTCTCAGAAAGCTAAGCAGGGTCAGACTAGGTTATTACTTGGATGGTGGACCACCAGGTGATGCTAGGATGTAGAGTAGACTGGGAAGCTGAAAAACATCTCAAAAGAAGGTGGTAGCAAACCAATTCCTTATTATCAAGCTACCCTTGGAAGAGGCCTCATTTTTTCAACTTTTAAAATCTTTTCTATTGCTTTTACTGAATTCACATCACCAGAAAACTCATGGTTTGGGTTAACCTCATCCTCATTCAAAACAGTAACAGACAGTGATTTCCATATGGATGGGAGTGATGGAAGTATAATCCTATACACCCAGACATCACCAAGATGGGTGAGAAAGGGGTGATCCAATTGGTTACCAACCCTGAAGTTCTTAATTTTTGTTCCCCAACACTAAGTCGTAGAGGGCATGACTTTTCCCAACCAATATTTTTTTGTATTAATGAAGCAGAATTTGCCAGTTAGGAGACCAACATTGTGGGACCTACTTTTTAAAACCAAATGCTTATCCAGAGAGGCCGTAATTCAGACGTCTTGTCTACTGTATCATATTTTGGGCCGACTCACGGCTGGAATTGCAGCTGTGATCCTGAAGGCTCTTTCCCCTTCTCGTCAATAAAAAACATTAATGTGCGTTTTGCAATTCACTTCTTGTATCTTTATTCAACATTGCTTTGAATTGCTAATGCTATTTAAATTTTGCAACCCAGGCACAAAAGAGTATATATCTGCGTTTGGAAGCATTTAACATTCCCTGTAATTATGCAGTAACTCCGAACCTGAAATCCGAGAGGATGGGGTTCATGGCCCCCGGTGTGTCTGTAAAAAAAGTGATTTTAAATCTTTCCTTTGCATTATTTTGGATATAAACTAAGCATTGCAATGTAACACTAAAGGGAATAAATGTAATTGGCTTGAGTGTTCCTTGCTTAAGTTGATCCACTTATATATATCTATGGCCAGTTCACTGCTGAGTCTTGAACCTTTTTTATATATTCATATATGCATATGAACGAAGGGGACGAGATCTGCAGCATTAGCACAGGTGATGGATTTTCTCCAAGATCCTGTTTTCAGCCCATCTTGGGGATTCAATTTGTGCTGGGCAAAGAAATAAACCTTCCATCTTGCTTTTGCAGAACTTCTTCCGGAAACACGCACCGAGCGAAACCGGGCCCCATGGAATAAGTGCAGAAGTTATGGACACGTATGTGAAAAGCTGTGGTAAGCAGCGGTGCATCATTTCATGTGTCTGCCTGCAGTTCAGAAGACACGAAAGTAACCACTTGTGATTTGTGGATGGGGTTCCTAAAAAGCTTGCTCTGCAACATTTGTGAGCCAGGTGGGGCCATTGAGAATTCTGAGAATCGGTGGGCCATGCAGCACACTTGCAAAGCAGTAATTTACCCCAAAGCTATCTTAATTGACTGTCCTCATCCTGAACCTTTCCAGGAATCTTGGCCAGCTTCAGAGTTTGTGCACCATCGGGCTGAAGATTTTAAACTTGGACTGGGGAGCCCCACAGTCAAGTCCCGCTCAACTGCGGAGTTCACTGGGTTGACTTTAGACCCGTCATTCTCACAGGGTTATTGTGGTTGAGGGAGTGAAATTAGGAGAAATTTCCATGTGTCTTTCCTTGAAATAAAGAAAAGAATCATAATGAAACAGGTTTCTGACTATAAGAACCTATCTTGTGCCAGTTTGATTTTGATCAAGAGTGATCTAATTTTGCTTTTTTTATTTTCAGCTGGATATTGTGTGATCACATATATACTTGGAGTTGGAGACAGACATCTAGATAATCTTTTGCTCACCAAGACAGGTAAAGAATTTGCTTTTTTTCTATTGTGGCATCTTCACCGTGCAATAAAATCATGTCCTTCTTGTAACTGTGTGCCTTTGTGTGTGAGTGTAAGGCTTGTTAAAGCAATTTTAACACTGTTATCAAATACCGTGAAAGATTGGAGCCCCACAATATAAAAAGTAGCTAAAGACTGTGCATAGAAGGCAGAATTAACAAGGCATAACTTGTGGATTTAACAGTCCTAGTAATTTAATAAGATGGGATGACCGTAGCATTCAGCAAGCAACTATTTGCAGTGCCTTTACTTTTTGTTAAATGGTTTATTATGCCATTATTTATTAGTCATTTTACACAATTTCCTTGCCACCCCTGTTGTGTATCTCAGGGCATGGTTAAAACACACAAAAGACATCATTGCAATCAAAGGATGAAATTAATAAATAAACCCAGCTGATCCAATGCAATAAAAACAGTGGGTTACAATCCTAAAAAAGGTGGTTGTGGGGGGAGGTATCCTGATCTTGGAGGTAAGCAGATGATATTTCATGGGGCTGTGGCAGCAACAGAGAAGATGCATATCCTGGTCCTGACCTTTTTAGTTTTATGGGAGGTGGGAACGCACAGCATTTCCTGCCAACTTAGATGTGCAGGACAGCCATGTTCCACCTGCACCAGATGGTCCTGTGGGTGCACCAGGACCCAAGCCCATTCTACTGAAGATGAAAACTGAGGCTGAGAGTTAGTGCATTGATGAATATAATAAAAAAATCACTGCCAACCCTCATCAGCTTAAACTGAACAACTGGCCAGCCTACCAGGAATTGGATCACCCATGCACTTGTTCTGGACCAGATATGAAAATAGTGTTGAACTTTCAGCTGGGTTCTCCGTATCTCAGATCTTCCTGGTTATGTTCACACAGCATGCAAAACTGGATCAGTTATGAACTGAGGGGCTGCATTTGAAGAGCGTGTCAAAACTCGGTTAGTTTTAACACTGTTTTCTTTTGGTGGGTCTAACCTGTTGGGTTAATGAATGGTCCAGCATGTTCTTCTAACCCAGCAAATGGGTTAATTAAGAAACCAGATTAAGTGCATTATGCAAGCAGAATCATTGTGCAAAGACGATAAACACATGTTCCATGTGACTGGTGCCAGCAGTTCGAAAAAACATTTGCAGCGACAATTTGATCACTGCCGTTAAGTCATCCAAGCCAACTTTTTCAAGACGTTGGCAGATGGGCAAAAGAAAATAAAGCTCCTAAAAGGATTTATAATAAAACTGGCATCATTTCCAATCTGCCTAATTTGTTCTTTATAAAATAACACAGCTAATTGGCACTTGACAGACTCTTCTACACACACACACACACACACACACACACACTATTTCAAGATCCGTTAATTATATGCTTGGGTTGTAGATTTTTAAAGACTTTCGACAAATGTAGTAGCTATTATACACTCTACTGCATTCAAAATACAGTGCATGTTTAATAAGCATTTATTAGTAGTAGTTAATTAGATTGATATTGACCATAATTTTATTCAGACTGCATAAAGAGGTTCTTTCCTTTCCATTGGATCTTCACTTACAATAGTAATCAGACCTTTCTCTTAGCTGAGTTCCTTTCCTATAAGTTCTTTTTGTACAGTTCCTTCCAGTAACATGTATAAGTCTGGTTTATTGAGGGGGAGGCAGAAAAAGGAGGTCGGTTTGTAGTCCTAGATTGCCCCCCCCCAAAAAACCTTCTGTATCCAGATGCGTAGCAAAATACAAATGTGGCAAAATGATCTGTATTTTATATCTTTTTATACCGTATCCCCTGTGGAGTTGTCGCAGAGTTGGGCAGCCTTGCTGATGTCTAAATAAATAAACACATGCTTAAAAATACCTCTCTGGATGGCACATGGTGGCTGAGTCTGCCCAGCGTGTAACTGTAGGCTCAGAAGGGAATGGATTGCTTGTGCTTCAGCGTGTTGTGGAAAACTCA